AGAAAAACAACATCTTTGGGTTCCGATTACTGACAACACATACCAATGCTGAGAATTATTAAGTATAATTACTTTTCTCATAAACTGGATGTCACTTGTGTATGTGTGCAGGAACAGAGATGCAGAGACAGGAAAGGGAAAACAACCACCAATTTATCTTTTAAAGCAATAAGAACACAAATCTTTGTACATACTCTTCAGACAGATAAACATTTGTCAAAACCTACCTGAAATCAATATCTAGCAGAAGGCTTCTAACCCTGAAATCTTCTCCTTGTGATGCTTTTGACTGGATCATTTCATGAAGCCTGAAGTATAATTGGAGCAAAGAAATTTAACACATAATCATTGGCTTCAGAAATAATCTTGCAAGACAAGAATGCCTCGTACTTTACTAAACCTAAAACCAAACAGATAGAGAAAATGGAGTAATCTGAATTTGGATGATTCCACTTAGCTAATATTCAAAGTTAGAAAAATATGTTAGTCTTAAAAGATGAAAAGTCACTGGAGCCTATTGGATCACCATGGACAAAAAACCCCAAACATAAGCAAAGAAACTCATTGTCACTTCTGTAAGAAACAAAGCAGGGCATTTACAGTGTGTATGTGTGTTACTGTCAGTTTAGCTACAGTCTTCTCCTGTACCTTACGAGCTCAAAGACCCCACTAGATGCTTGGATAATCCCAACCAACTAAAGCGTGGTGAACCTCTTATTATGGGAGAATCCTTGATTATTTATATATTAGTAAGCTGCACAGTGTTGAGAGAAATATTATTTGAAAGTGTAACAATTCTCACTGATGTACCTGGGCGTTCCAACAGAGAGCACTCGTCTGAATCCTAAATCAATAATAAGATCCAGTAGGAACTGGCAACTTCTGTCTGCAAATAAATACTGTGCATTTGTTTTTTTATTCTCCAGTGGATACAGAAGTTGACTGGGACTTTTTAACTGGGCAATGGAGATATTACACAGGAACTGGTGATCCAAGTGTTTTTCCCATTCAGTTGGAAACAGCAATTGCTGGCATTCCTGGCAAAACCTCCTCTTCGATAATGGCAACAGAACAAAATTCTTGTACCTTTAAAAACAAAAGACAATAGAGATCAAACTTTGAAAAAGCTTCTATAAAATATATGAAGGGGAACTATGAAGGGGGTTTCATATTTTTTAAGAATTCAGGCCTTTAACCAAGCAATGTAGTTTAAATTGCTCTTGCAAAACTCCATTATATACATGTGAATGAATACTGATGAAAAAATATTCAAAGGACACTTTAAAAAGCATATAATATGCTGGCCAAATATACTGAGATTCCCTGTAAAATAACTGGATTACAGAGTGAAAACTCCATATTCACTACCAGCAAGCAGTCCTGTATGTTTACACAGAAAACTTGGATATTATTTGTTGCTGTATTACCTTTGCTTCTTTTCACAATATTAAGCCTGTTACTTTTGCACACTGAAGTCAGGAATAACTGTTTGAACTGAAACTAGTACTGACCTCTTGTTAATGCATAATGAGCACTAATGTAAGAACTATACACACACAGGAAAAAAACCAAAACCAAAACAGTTCCTGGGTTGAAAATACCATGCTCTAATTAGATGTTTCATGCTATTTTCCCATTGCAGTCAACGAGTTCTTATTCTTCCAAATCCCTCTGGTATGTTTTCGTATTTTAAAGAATCCTGAGATATTACCTCTATATTCAGAGCACCTAAACTTGTATTACTTGATTTTTAGTGCAGAAAATATATTTAACAATACCTTTCCACATTCTGCCTGTGTGTAAAAGGCGGCTGATGATTTCTATTATATTCTTCACGTGCCACAAGCCTAGTTTCCGATACCTGTAAAATTTATGTATATAAAAAGTTACAAAACAAACAGATATGGTTCTGTATTGTACATTAAATCTCAATATTAAACAAAAAGGGTGCATCAAAGGTCTTATGCTTTAGTTACTCTGCGCAGAAAAATTATCACATTCTTTGGATTGTTGCTTAAGAACAAGCACGACTGCAGCACAGAAGCATGCTGCAAAACAATATGAGTCTCTCGTGAATTTAAACTGTGCGAAAAATGAATAGAAGAATGTCATTCTTCTACTACATGTCATACTCAGAGAAAAACTCAAAACATGATTATGATGAAGATGGAAAGAGGTATACTTTCCATTAATGCATGCCAGCAGTTGCATCGCCTCTGAAGAGCTATGATCTGATCCTGAACAACTGATGACAGCAGAAATGTTGCCCAAGTCTTTTGTGTGTGATTATTTTAAAATAACATGCTCTTCTCTGAATCTTCTACTTTGTTCCCACAAAACATACTTAGGGTTTCACAGTCAATAGAGTTTCAAGACATTCGCGCAAAACTTATGGAACTGATTTGTTTAAAGGCAGAGACAGTAAAATTCAATAGAACAAAAGACACCATGACACAAGTGAAATTTAAAATGAAATTTCACTAGGAATACCATGTATATCTACCCAACCAAGTGATTAACCACCTCATTTTTTCTTTATGCAGCTTTTCAGTAGTAACCAGCCCAGCAATGAACCGCTTATGAATGCAATTAAATTCCAGCCTGCCAACCTGCTGAGAACAATGACCACAACACAAGATACTCATTTAGGAAACAGAAAAAGCAACACAAAATGTAGTGGACAAAAACTGCAGCAAGGTCTCCATGAATACATGTCAATCCCAATTTTGTTACCCTACAATCATCTGACCAAAGTTCTTTAGACAAAGAGGAACTGCTGCAGATATTCTGAGACTACTGAGCATCCCGCTGATCCCCGCCATCTCACTATTTTGTATATCCCATTGTTTGCCTGTATCCACCAGATTTTCTCTGTCTTAACCATGCAAGACGAGAACATCCTGGGACCAGAACTGTCCTATTTTATTCAACATTGCATAGTATTCGCAAACTTTGTAACTCAAATACCTAAGTGTTTTGGCAATACAGAAACAAATGCCAGTTTTGCTCAAAATGTACACAGCCTTCCTTGAAAGTTATACTTGCAACACGTTCTCCTGACAGAAACAAGAGCTCTGCTATATACAAACTATTAGACAAAGCTTCCAAAACAGCAATTGCCACGCATTTCCAGAACAAAATATACTGTGTGTCCCCCCGCCATTTTCTGTTAAATAGAGAAAAAAATCGCCAACATTTACCATAGCCTTAAGCAGCGCTCTCTTACCTTCTCATCTTCCCACTGGAAAAAGTTACAATCTTTTCTATCCCTACAAGCTGAACACGCGTAAAATCTTCTTCCTTCCTCCTTTCCTTGGCTGGTCTTTACAAACAGAAGAGCAGGACCTAAACGACAAACGTAATTACACGATGACACAGGGGACACCAACAGATCCGTTTTAATGCCTCCGCTGCAAGTCTCACGCTTCCAGAATAAAGCATTACCAAAGGCTGCCGTAAAGCACAACCCCTCGCAGGGGAGCCGAGAGAGCAGCTGCAGACGAGCAGCAGAGACGCTCAGGCAGGTGTCAACCCCCCCCCCGGGAACGGCGGCCACCTCAGTCAGGCCCGTCAGAGCCCCCGGCCGGCCCCGCTCCTCCCCTCGGCGGGGCCCGCGCCCCCATCCCGCCCGAGCGGCCTCCTCGCCGCCCGGCTCACCGTGCGGACAGCTGGGAGCGCTGGGCGCCAGGCCGAGCAGGGCCAGCCCGCCCGCCCCCGGCCGCTCCGCACCGCACAAGCCCTCCGGGTCACCCTCCCCGCTGGCCGCCATGTTACCGCCTCCTTCCCGGCAGCCCTCGGCAGCCCTCGCCACCCGCTGGGTACGGCAGGAGCGGCGCAGCCGGCGCTACGGCGCCCCCCAGCGGTGCGGCGGCCCCACCGCCCGGGGAAGAAAACTCCCGTTAGTAACAGGGACGAAACCAACCAAAATCGGGTCCGCTTCCTGCACGGCAAATAACACAGCGGAGCCCAGGAGCCGTGCCTTTGAGACTGTGACATTTATTTTCTCCAGTAGGCATGTCTGGTACATAAACAGCATCTTTAATTGCTTAGTAAACTGCCCGGATAAAAACTAAATCGGGGAAGTTTATAAAGGTGGTCATTTCAATCTTTCTTTGAACTCCACCGTACGGTGAGTTTTACATTTAAGGCTTAAACGTTCCAGTTAGTCATGTGAATTGCTGACATGCTACATTAATATTTACATCCACTCCAAATTATATAAAATACAAGCATTTTATTATTTTTGAGTTCAACAGTATTGCTTAGAATTACAAAATTCAGCAATGTCTGAAATACTGAAAGTTTCATAACAGCAGCAGTTTCTCTCCCGTTCCTGGTCTTAACTGTCCAGAAAATTAATCAAATAAAAATACTTACCATGTTACATAAGCCACAGATCTAGAAACATGACCATCATGCCTTAAACCATGTAACTTAAACATAAATGCAAATGGCAATGGGCAGATGAGCATGACATTGCTAAGGGCACAATAGTAAGTCTCTGTGCTCTCTGTATTACTCTTTCCCCCCCTTCCCTGGGCAAAAAAAAATAACAGCGTGTTTAGAAATTTAGAAGGCAGACTGGCTTTGTGACAAACACAGTAGTGCTTCTGTTGTTAACAGTAGAGAACCACTCTAGCGACTACTGATGAACACATTTATACCCATATGGCAAAACAAACCTGTAACAACATGGTGCAATTCTTTCGCTGTGATGGATCTATAAAGAAATATCACAATTTTCCATACATGTGCTTAAATACACAAGTTCTAAAAGCCACAGGTGAAATTTCAACCTCTGAAACGTACACTCAGTTTATTTTGTCACAGTAGGAACTGTGTGCACTTACTCAGGTTGAATTTTGCTGTAATTCAGCTGTTTAACTATTTTTGGTCCCCACGTGCAAAAAAACCTACTTGGAGCATTTTTTCCCTTCTCCCTTTCTTTCACTTTTTTGTCAAGGACAGATTGATTTTTTTTTTAAATTTTTTTTTTTATGTGTGTGTATATGACATTTCAAGTAACTAGCCTACAAAAATCTATGAACAGCTTAAAATATCAGGAAGAAATTCCAAAGAAAATAATTTTCACAATAAAAGATAACATTCTGCACTTTTTTTTTTAAAAGACCATACAAAAAGAAATTGATAGTGTATAGGTTCTCACATTTATATGAAACAAAAAGAATTTCTGTTGTATTCAAAAGTAGTTTCTCAGCATATGCAAACTGTGCATCTTCCCTTATTCAGAATACATTAATTTAGCCTATAAAAATACAGTATGGACAAGTTCTTCTCATTCCCTGACATAAGAATTCACAATTTTGACACAAAAATTGTAAACTTTTATTACATTCAAAATACATTTCTTAAGTCTTTAGAATTTAAGTTCTGAGGTGTCGGCAGTCAGACCTCTTGGTATACAGCAGAAGTACGTTATTGCAGAGCTTTTACACAGAAGTAGCTTCCTAAAGTTAAGAGAAACTTACGATTCCCATGTATTTTTGTTGCTACCAGGAGGAAAAGAAAGGCTTCCTGCTATGAAAGGTCTGCGTGAAAGCATTACTCAGATGAACAATTCGGCCCTGACTTCCAGTGCTACTTCGCTCCACAATCACACGTGGCATCTGAACAAGCTGAATGGGACTTTTTTCATCCTTTAATGCCTGAGTAAGGTTTAATATCTAAAAGAGTAAAAGCAGGTAAGGTGAGAGCACACAAATAAAACTGTGGCTAACAGGAATATAAAGTTAGATGCCACTCTTAAATCAATTCTGTAGAGGACTGCATTGTCAAATTATTTTTAAAAGATACTCTATTGCAAATAGAAGTATTTTATTTATTTGGTAACATTATGACATCCTACCACTATCTGACTACCTTTCTATCTTTTTTTGAGTATTTCATGCAATCCTCTTCAAATTTTTGGAAAATGTTAGAGACAAAAAAAAAAATCTAAGAGCATTTTAAGTTTAGCACATCACTTAAGAGCATTACACCTTTAATGAAAAAAAACCTACAAGAAAGCAATCAACAGGTATTTAGCACAGGATCTACCAGGAGTTTAGCTACAAATTATTTTCATATCAGAAGATATGAAGCCATATTATTCAGCCCTCAGCTCCCAGGAGTCTGTTATCTTCCTTCCAAAAACCTCAGTGCTCATCAACCACCCTGATAATTTACTCCACATTCAATGTTATCCTGCTGAAAACCGAGGCAAGTATTCAATTTAGTTTTGGTGACACACTTGCATTATCCTTAACATCAGGCTTTTTTTTCCCCCTGCACAATGCCCCTTTATTCCTTGTGTGACTTACTGATCCCCTGCTCATTCTGCACTTTCATGGCTGAAGAACCCTGACAGATAAAGTCTTTTTGCACAGTTTACTGCAATTTGGCTCTTCTAGCAACTCCACTTGACATTTACATTTTCTAAGTTCTAAGGTAATCATTTGTAGATCTGTGTTACCTGGTTGCTTAGTTTCTATGTTCTTGAGAGAACGGTTTATCTTGGGTTTGAAAACCTTCCCAGTATTTTTTTTCCCCCACTTGACAAAAATATGCTTGTAACTACTTTTGGTACCTTAAATTTAAAGGCCTTCCCCCATACGTGCAAGATATATTTCTCTTCAGCCTCCTTATCTTTATCTACTAGATTCTTCATTTTCTAATTCTTAAAGTTTTGATTTTTAAGGATGTATTTACAGACATTTTGGCTATCCCGCAAATTTATCTTAACTGAATGAATCCATTAAGTGATCTAGATATCCAACTTCTTCTGTAATGCCCTTGTAACATACTTTGGTTTTACACCAAACACAAGTCTAAAATCAGTGCTAAAAGGCATCACTTGCTGATGTATTTCTAATCACATCCAAGAATAACTCATTATCTGCAATTCTTCCCTAAAACCATGCCTGAAAACCTGACATATCCCACAGTGAAACACATTCTTGTATAGCTAAAGAGAGATTTAAAAAAACAAAACAAAACCCAAACCAACAACAAGAAAAAAAAAAACCAAAACAAATCTCTGTTGAAATCCACCTCAGGGAAAGGGTGTGACGAAAGGGTCCAGATGCAGCCTTTATAGTGGGAAATTAATTTAGACAACCTTATCTAGATCTTTCTCAATTATATAATCAGTTTTTTTCCTTAAGCTTTCTGTTAAATAACAGATTCCCTGTAGCCAATTGTCTCATCACAGAAAAGCTACTTAAGACAGTTTAAGATGGATGTATATTTCAGAAGTGACCTTCCAGTGACTGCACAAACTTCTCAGAAAAGTTATTTCAGAAATAACTCCTATAATTCAATTTAATAAGTAAGGTTTGCTGGCTTTTAGCCACCACACATAACTAATGTTAACTGGGATGATGTTTGACTAAGCAGTGCTGCAGTCTTGTGCAAGGTACTTCCTGATAGAGGAAATCGTACAGAGAAAAGGTCGGATTAAGCCACTCTAGGAATTGTGAATGTCTGGCTTTAAACTATCCATGTTGAATTTATGAACACAGGGAAGTTAGTTTCAATAAATTCAGGGCAAATGGGACTATTAATTTATCTAGTCCAATGCCCTTACATTTTCACAAATCACTGTTTTATGTCTACAACGAACTAAATAATTTGTTCTTAGCTAAAGCTTGTTTTCCAGTATATCACACCAGTCTTAAATTTTAGAACAGCAAGAAGATGGAGAAACCATTCCCTCTTGTTTCAGTGTTACAAAAACCCAACACTTAATTATCATCAAACTTCTAATCTGAAAATGGCTGGATTGGTTCCAAGTATGGTTCTGACATTTGCTAGGATGAAGAAATTTTATTACCCCTAATACCGCTTTCTTGTGAGAGGTATTTCAGTGATCAAGTTAACCCTCCAAAATAAAGTCACATTTATTTCAATAACGTAACGAAATTACCCACCAAATTTTCCATCCAAGTTTATGACTCTTCTCCAGTGTTTCATTCTTAAAACACCTTCTAAGAATATATAAGTATGAAGTCCTTCCCTATCCCCCACAAAAGTAATGAAACCCAATTACATTATTTAAGAAAATCATCTTCTATAAGAAATAAAAATCAGTACATGCTTTCTGCTGTCTCATCTATATGCAAATAGGAACAAAATCTAGAGAGAAATCTAGTCTTCTCAGATTAAAATACCGTCAAGTGTCTTTCAATTCAATAGGAGTCAGTTTTTGTAGCTCTAAAAAAAACAGCTGAGAAGTGATGACAAATTAAATACATAAATAAAAATGTAAAAAAGCAGTCTTACCTGCCCCCTCATAACAGACATTTGGTTTTCAAAAGTAGCCTTGTCAAATCCTTTATCAGTCTTCATTAAAGAAAACAAACAGTTATTATAGGAAATGACCTATTTATTTTTAGCTATATATTTAGCATGCAAATTCATCAATTTCATAACACACAGTCATATTTACCAACATCATAATAATCTTCGGAAGCTTCAAATAATCATAGTATGACCCACAAAAAAGTCTATTTATTGCAGCAAGTTTACATATGTGAAAACGAAGGGTGTTTCACATCATAAAAGTAAAATACATCAGTGGATACCAGTTTAGGGCATTGGTAGGTAGGCTTAATACAATCACATAATGTCATACTGCTCTGTCTCTCACTTTACTCTGGCAAAAGAATACTTCCTCCTTCAGATTTATTAAATACTTCAATTTCCACTGGGTTTAAAAGAAAACCCAGAATCACTTTGAATACAACTGAGTCAAAGATGCAAATACTGCGAATGTGTTTCAGATCTAGTTTTGACGTTACAGCTGCATTTTCATTAAAAGTTTGATATTTCCATTTCTTTCCATCCTGATCATTTAGATTACTTCACTTGAACATCTGACACAATTGTTTATGGAATGTTTTAGAGAAGAACAATTCTTTTTACATGTCAATACTGTAGCACAGTTTCAGTATCTTTAAAATAAGTCTGACTTACTTTAGACATGGTCAAGATTTCAGCATCAACTTCACACAATATATGTATGCAAAATTAAGCATTAATGATTTCCTCAGGTTGTTACAGTTTATCTTAAGCGTATACACACCACACAGGTACCTTAAATGGAGTTTTCACAAAGATTTGTTCTATAAAAGTTAACTAGCTTTAACTGATTATGTGAACCTTAGATATATAAAACGTTATTATTTTTTCAGATGAGCTGATTACTATCAATTAGCCACATTAGTGACACAGTTTCCTCAATTATAGAAACCCTTTCTACCATGCCAATGTTAAAGCTAAAATAGCACAGTATCATGACATACAGAAGTTAAATTCACAGAAAGAAAAACCATCTAACTCTTCCATTACAGGTATTAGCTATTTCAGTAATGCTCAATTCAAAGAAGCACTCGATTCACCTTAAATAGTTCGTAAAGATCTTCACAAAGATCCTGTATGAAGTTCATATCAGAAATGCGAGGAAGAACTAGGTCTCTGGTCTCCTGAGAGAAAGGAACTTTTGCTTGAGAAAGCCAAGCCCAGTGAAAGGGATCTAGTGCAGAAAAACAGTACACTTAATCATTGACAACAGGTAAAAATGAAATTCTCAAGCACTTACCACTGATACGGTACTCTGCTGCCTACTGGAAGTTCTCAGTAACATACCATTTTTCACAACATTGTTACTGCATACACATTTTTTGGCTACATTTACAAAAGCAGCTTTACAGCTACTTAGCCTTTTTTCCAAACAGTGAAAATATATTTTAAGTAATAAGATAAAATTAGTTGAAGCAGTAAGTAAAAAATGTATATAAATTAAATACTTGTAAGCAAGAGTAGAGGCCTTATCCTAGTTTAGTAATACAGCTTCCTTTGGAGTAAAATAATGGCTACAATCAAACAGAAATCTTTCACGTGTTTGACTCATACTGAAGAATTAACTAAAAGGTAGCTACTTTTTTTTAATAACATTTTTAGTTTATTAAAATGCCACCTTCTAAGCAAACATTCTTAACTTTTCACATAATTGCTATTAAACAGCTTTTTCAAAAGATACTATAAGAGTAATTAATATCACCAGATGTTAAAGACGACACCAAAGATTAACGTCTACAAAGGAAGCTAAAGCTGAGAACAAGTAAAAATAACATGTTAACTTGTCTACTTGTTCACCTACAACAGTACCCTTTGTTTTGAAATAGAAATTTGGCCATTTGAGAGAAAACTTGCATATCCTTGCACTCAAGTAATTTTCCATCATGTTTTTCAAGAAAACGCACATGAGAAAAGTGTTGCTAAATTGTTCCAGTTCCACCATCAGTTTACATACAGTAGTATGTTTATGAATATCCATGTGTTAATATTGTTTAAAGGTATAAAGGTAAAAAAACATGAACAAGGACTAAATCACATATGACATTGCAAAAATGGCATTTGTTGCTAACTTTCTGAAGAAAGTACGTTATTTAAAAATTCAATATATAACTACAGTCATGATTTCTTAGTTTCTTACTACAACACCACAAAAAAAACCCCAACTTCTTTGGCAGTTACACTCCCCAAAGGAAGATTATTGAAGAATACAATGCTTACATGCCCTCCATTCATCAGGATGCTTAAAAGGAAATGCTAAACCATTGTCAATTGCAGCAATTTTAATAGTAGATTCTTCAGTTGTTGTCCATTGGCTATCCTACAGAAGGAATATTTCAAAAATAAGTGATATCTATGTGCTTACAAAAATAGTGAAATACATTAAAAATACTAAATAATATACATTTTAGCTTCACTGCTTAAAGTCAACTTAAACAATATAAAGCAGTATCCAAATAAACTCCAGCACTTATAATTCTTACTCTACCGCCATTAAAAAGGAGCCCTTCCCCCAAATACAAGATAAGCAGAGCACGTAAGTAGCTGAACAAATGTGTTCGAGCAACAGTAGGCAGTTTTATTATTATTATAGCCCAAGCTAGTAAAGAAAAAAAAAAATACAGAACAATAGAAATAACTTCTAGCACTCTTCTATCCAGATGAGTCTAAACCAAATAGCTTTTCCATTCATTTCGTCTAGAATAATTTGCAGTTATCATAATTCCTGAGACCACGCCCCAGGATTAAAGTCATGCACTTAATCCCCTGCAAGACCAAGTTATAAAACTAAACAATTTAAAGAATATAAGTTTCAGAGTATAATTTTCTTACCTTATCTGACAGATCAAGTCCATCATCTTGTTTTTCATACCTGACTAACCAGTTATCGTTACCTCTGTCTTTAAACAGGAAAATGCATGTCACAACATGTCACTTATAAAGAAATCATTACCGAAAGTGATATATAATGACTAATCTTGTAAACTGAGAATTTACCAAAGGAGTCAGGCAAAACTGTTCAAAAAGTTTTTTCCATCACTATACATGTGTTTTAGCTTTACTGAAATGTATGAGGCAACCGATTTACTGGAAACGACAAAAATTTATCAAGGGCTCTTAGGTACGTGTTACTGCTTTAGCTTCTCCAGCTGGCTGAATATACAGCAAAGTATCCAGAAAACTACAAGAAACTATGTTAATCCACTTTATACAGAAAGATTGGTTGTAGTGTGCACTTTTCCTGGGGAAAAAAAACCTGTCAGCAGCAGCAATCACAATGACTTAATTTTTAAGCTTCTTTTAATGCTGATGGGGAAAGGGAGAGGGCCTCCAAAATTATAGATAGTGTGATGTTTGACTACATGGAGAAAACAGACTCTTCAAAGATAGAGGGGTGAAAAACTGAAGAGCCTTTCAGAAGCTGAAAACATCTGCACCGTTCAGACAAAATTGAGACACTGAAGGCTTTGACAAGGTCTTTTAGATAAAGGATGATTGCATGGATTTGTAGGTCCTTCTGTCATCTTAAGGTGCTCCCTTAAGCTTAGTTAAACATCCGTCAGAAGATTTTCATGTTCCATCATGACTAGATATATTAGATGAAGGTAGAATCATCCACGTAATGAGGTTTTGCATTTTAAGTACTTTTCTTACAATTTTAAGAAAGTCCCAGGACACAGTATTTGTTTGGAAACGCTGGGATCTATTTGATAAACGTGAAAGACCATAGCAGCAGCTAGAAAGTGTTATGTTCTGTCCTGGTTTCAGATGGGATAGAGTTAATTTTCTTCCTAGTAGCTGGTATAGTGTTATGTTTTGGGTTAGGTATGAGAATAATGTTGATAACACTGATGTTTTCAGCTGTTGCTAAGTAATGTTTAGACTAAGTCAAGGATTTTTCAGCTTCTCATGCCCAGCCAGCAGGAAGGCTGGAGAGGAACAAGAAGTTGGGAGGGGACACAGCCAGGACAGCTGACCCAAACTGGCCAAAGGGGTATTCCGTACCATGTGACGTCATGCCCAGTATATAAACTGGGGGGAGTTGGGGTGGGGGAGATCGCCACTCAGGAACTACTGGGGGTCGGTCAGCGAGCGGTGGGCAATTGCATTGTGCATCACTTGTTTTGTATATTCCAATCCTTTTATTATTGTCATTTTATTATTTTTATTATCATTATTAGTTTCTTCCTTTCTGTTCTATTAAACTGTTCTTATCTCAACCCATAAGTTTTACTTTCCCCCCGCCCATTCTCTCCCCCATCCCACTGGGTGGAAGGGGGAGTGAATGAGCAGCTGCATGGTGCTTAGTTAACAGCTGAGGTTAAACCATGACACGTTCTTATGACTCTTTCTTTCATTTTGCTTCTAAAAAGCCACAGGTTAGAGTGACTTATTTTCAGATGGATTCCTTTCTAATAAGTGAATTTAAGAAAAGGAAAATTAACTAGAGCTGGTATGTCTGAAGAAGTGTAAAGATGCCTACCTCTGACAAAGCAGCAAATGAAGTATTTTAAATATAAAACTGCCTTTGGATTCTTGAGGAAATAGATCACCTACATAGTCAACAGAAGAATCCCAGCTTCTGAGTGAAAGAAATAAGAATGGAGGAAAACCAAGCGATATATATCACAGTTGTACTTCAGTGCCTAGTCACAATATGAACTATTTTGCACTGATGCAGAACTGTGCTGTTAATTGGCTCCATCTCAGCATAAAAGGAATGGTAGTCATGGCTTTTCTTATGGTTTCTGAAAGCCCACCACTCCTTATCCTAATCAGGGGAAACAGACAGTTAAATTAAGCCTACTATTAGAATTCAAGCATAAAGTATTTTTTCTTGAATTCTTACACTGCTTTAAAGTATCAAGTAACAGCCAAAAAGGGTTGTTTGGATTTCATCATATTGCAATATTTAATGTTTGAATCCAAAGTAAATTTTTTAAAGTTTAAAATGCAACATTCTGGCCTTCAATTGTGAGAAAAGCATTTGAAATGCATTAAAAGCCTTCAGCAGCAACTTTCAGCCAGCATTGCTTACCATTTCTGCCTCACAAAAGTAGATAGATACTGAGAGACACTAACAAATACCTGTATTTCTGATGACATAATCCAAGATAACCAATCTTTCAAACTGTGACTGAAATTCTTTCCTTGTGTTCTCAGGTAAGGGATCAGTTTCAAACTTCCTGAGCCAGTAGTCAGCTTCCTTATATCCTTCAACAAACAGCTGAAAGGAGCCAACCTGAAACATTAAGAAACTGCTTTTGGAAAATGCATTTGGATAGGTCACATAACTAATCTTAACATTAACAGAAAACCTGATTATATACTTTCAAAGTTCAGAACACAGGAAGCATGACATTAAAAAAAAATTACTAAGTGGTTTCTCTTGCATTCCTAAATTCTAAAAAAAAAAAAAAAAAAATAGACTCAAATCATGAGGGTTTTTCCTAGGTTTTTTGGTGTTGGGTTTTATTTATTTATTTAAGCACTCACTGAGTTCACCGGGAATAAAACATAGCCAGACAGCTCAACATAAAAGAACACTCAGTATCACGAGCAATGTTTGAAATAAAGCAAAAGATATAACACCTATTCTCTTTTTCATTGGAAACACTTGTTTCAATAGTTCGTAGGAAACTCACCAAAATTTACAGGAGAAAAATCCTCCTCTCTGAAAAGCTTGTTTAAGGCTGCTGTTCTCATGAATGAAACATACATTTTTTCAAGACAGACACTTTTTGCATGAAAATGGCTGAAATACATTTCCCAAAAGAGTCCAAGGAAGAAAACTACAGATGGCATAGGCTCCATATGTGTGGGCAACAGGAAAGGTGCTCAAGATTAAAATTCAAAAGAGGACTTATATTCAAGAAATAAAATGCAGATGCACACATGCAGAGACATGGATAAACACATAGCATGTGAAATAACCATGCTAACACAAGCTTACATAACATATGTCACATGGATCAAAATTGCTGGAAACTGACACAAATTAATTATCCAAGCTGTACATGACCTGTGTTTTAAAAGTTTAGGAGTAGAACACTGTGGTGATATTTTGGTGCTACAAAAAGGCCCATTAGGCAAGAAAGATGTGAGGTTTTAGTCAGTGGAGCACTGCACACAAGATGAAAGGAAGGTAGGATGGACACACAATAGGATACCTAAAAGAATAAAAGAAACAATAGAAGGGGGAAAAAAAATAATCAAGATTTAGGAAAAATGAAAGAACTAGATAAATTACAGGGGAGAAACAATTAGACATTATAAAAACATGACACTGAAGGGAAATATACTAAGCAGTCAAGAAAATGAAAGAACAGTGAGACATGTACAACATCTTAACATGTTACTCCTCCAGCAGAAAGCTAGACTGCAAACTGAAATAAAAAGTGGCAAGATTATTAAAATAGTTCCAACGAAGGAATGATGTAACAAAGTGGGATAGATTTTGTGTAGAAACAGTCATATTTATCAAACTTCAGTCATTCAGAGATAATTTTCAACAAGTAACAAGGTTTTTCTTCTACTGTTGAAGTTACCTATAATTTTTTTTTTTCTTTTTAAACTCAGTTTTGTGTAAGAATCAGGAAATGCACAGATTACTTATTTTTCATCTTACCTTAGGAGGTAGTCCAATTCGATTAAATTTTTTAGCAACTTTTGGCACTTTCTCTAAAGCATATTTTTTTCCTCTTGACTTTGCACGATCTATTGCACTGTAATTAAAGGTCTCACTGACAAGCCAGACAACCTTAAAATATAAAAGTTGAGAACACAGCTCAGAATTCCTTATTATTTCAATTATAAGTTTACAGTAAATTTTAAGCTTAGTTGTCAAAAAAAGCAAACAGGAAGCATCAGGCATTTCCAAAAGACAAATTTTATATAAAAAGGTGAATATTTGCTATTTTACTTATGTCAAACAAAAATGGGAATCTTTATATGCTGCTTTTTGCAATTTTTGCATCTCACCAAAACACGAGGCACAAAAGTGTCAGAACATGCTAGAAACTGAAGTGGTTCCAGAGATTCAATTCAGATCTCAAACTTATCCTTTAAAACAAAAATTACAGTCATTATTTCTGCACCAAACCACTGTGCCTTTGGACTTGGAATAGTTCATAAATGACTTAGGGATAATGCATGATATACAAGGATGTGTCCACAACTATAGTCCAGAGACTCACAAATCTGTAACTATATATTTTTTTTGCATTCAATAATTTAGGTATTTTAACTTCTACCTTAGTTTTAGGTACAACTCCTAGCCCCAGCTTGTCATCCACAAGATAGGCACCAGCTTCAGAGAGGTATCCCTGATTTGGAACGAGGCAGCCTCTGCCAAAGCAGCAAGGACAACAAACTTTGTGAAAATATTTGGTCCATTTTGGATTTAGATGTCCATAAGGCTCTTCAGATTTTGGTTTGAACACTCCAATAATTTTCTAGGATAAATAATACAAAATTAAAGTATAAATACTTTGAGTTGCAAAAGATTAAAATTATTTTGAAAATTAGTTATTTGAAAGTATTGATTAGATACTGTACATTGCATTTTATAGTTGCTCTTTTTAGATGACAAAATAATAAAACTAACAAAATGGTATTCCAAATAAATTTATCATCAAATGCTTGTCTAGAAGTAGTACCAATTCAAAATAAGCTCTTCATAAGAGAAAAATCCAAACCAGCTAACATTTACTAGTTTTTCAAAATTAGAGGGCTGCATTTTAGAATACAATTTTTTTTAATAGTCTAAGTTTTTTAAAAAGGACGCTGTAAAAGTAGTTTTAAAAAAAATCACTTTCAGCCCACCAATTAACTCATCGACAAGATATTTCAGAGACATAATGGTTCCAGGAAAGTGACAAACATACAGAATGCCAATAATCAGATGTTACCTTTTCTCTTTTATATCTATTTTATTTATTGCTTTAAGTTTGAATGGATCAAAATGTTCTGCACTTTGCAATTCCAAAAGGTAGTGTCTTTTACCACAGCTATAGATTCCTCAACTCAAAGCTGACAATAGTTCACACACACATCAGCTACTATTTACATTGGAGATGCGCAGTAAAGCCTAAAGTTACTCAGAGTACTGTGTCCAATTTTGGACACTACACTTCAAGAAATCTGTTAAACTGGAGAAAGTTGAAAAAAAAATGAGAATAAGCACAAAAAATGTTAATAATGAAAGACTATGATTGTTTGGCTTAAGAGAAAATGGGGCACAATGAACTATGGTAATAGCTTGCTATAGAGAAAAGAAGAAAAACACATTTACTGTTAACGAGCCAAGAAATGATAGGCTTAAATCCCAGCAGAGAAGTTGGAAAGAAAAAACCCTTTTGAACTTTAAGAGCAGCTCAAGATTGGAACAGACTGCCAGGTTGTAGAGTCTCCAAAACAGGACACCAACAACAACAGGTTAGATATTCATCAGGAATCATGTTAAAATGATCCTGCTCCACAAACACAGGCATTAAATAGATGATTTCTCAAGGTGCCTCCTACACATGATTCTGTATTTGTTAACCTGGAACCACAAGATTATTACCACACTAAAATACATAACCTTCCAGTTATCTTTGATAAACTTTAGCCTAGTGCATAAAGTCCATGTAATAACTCTTCCCTAGCTCAAGTGAAATGCTGTAGAAATGCTGTATCTTCATTCCTTCCCATAGAACCATGGTAAGTAAATCAAATTCGTATCTAATAAATATTTAAGAACAACTGTTTAAGAAGCATTTTCCCATATTAGTACTTTCCTGAATCATTAAAAAAAGAGTTATTATTTCAATAAGCTAAATATCACCTGTTGTTGCACCAACACTCATAGCCAATTTACACTCTTAAGTCATGAACAAGTTTGCTGGCAGTCAGAAACTAGCATTCTGCTTCAGTAACTGCCGATTCAACCAGATTAGGGAGAGGACCTGACTAATTGTTCTAGCTTCTAGAGAATTCTCACCCACTTTGTCCAAGACAATCTAACTAGTCCAAGATTGTCCAAGACAAACTAACTACAGAGAACTTCATTCCATTTGTAAACAGATTACAGAAGACACCAGGCATTAGTAGCACCACCTGTCTTGTCCATCTGTTTTGATTCATTCCCATCAACTACCAGGAGAAATAAGTCACAAAATATCATTATTTGCATTCATCCTATAAAATAAATTTCCTATGAACAGGGGCAGGAAACAAATTGACAAAAATTCTTTTGTTTTCGGTATGCTGTTATCTGTGATTCTACAGTTACATTCAAAATGAAGAGCAAGTTCTATGCAACTGCACAGACACAATTCAATTTAGACATACACAAAAGGTTACGCTTACAATAAATATGCTATGCAATGTGAAAGGCTGCAATGTTCTCTGAACACACTATTTTTTTTATATTTTTTTTTAAATCACAACACTCTGGAAACTGAATTTACTTGGTATACTAGTTTAGTCAAAATTCTAATGTTAGGTTTAGAATTGTTAAAGAGTTATTTAAACTTTTCCCATTGAATCACAGGTATCTATCTACCTGCTCAAAACAAAGCAAGCAGCTTTTCATTTCCCAGAAACATAGTGGTGTATTTAGTGGTATATGCCAAGCCATTAATTATCTCTTTTCTGAATTGTTCTTTGGATAATACTTCCTACAAACTGCCCATTTTAAAAAGGAGCTTAGCTCATTCCATTCCTTGCCTCGACTGGACTGTGCTATACTATCAAATCTAGATATGGTTTTCAAGGTTTCACTGAAGTTAGAACCTTGCTAAATTTTGCAGAGCCACTGCTGTTGAGGATGAGAGTAGAACAAGCTTCCAAGGCCAGTCGTAATTTTGCAAGTCAAAATTAATTTCTAGACTGACTCCATTGGCATTACCAATTAGCCAATAGCTAAACTGTCAAAAACATGTTGCAGAACAGTTTGTAACAGACACAATGTCTTTTACTTTATTGGTTACACAATGAACAACAAATGCAGAAATATTCAACACTTCAGCAATCGTGCTCCTTAAGTACTGAACTGCTTCATATCAGTATACAACTGTGCCAATAAATACAAAAAGTTAATAATTTAGTTAGGCAATTTTAGTTTTATCTTTCTGATAGACCCAAAGCAGCGAATAACATGTATAACCTGTAACCTGATATTAGTGTGGGTAAACACTTCAGAAACTGACCAGTAAGGCAGCTTAGCATGTCTTCAATAAACTCTTCCCCAGCATAAGGAAGAGGAGATTACTCAAGAAGAATAGGAGAAAGCAAGTCACATAACTGGTCTGAAGTAGAATGATACAATACTCTGTCAAACTGAATGTGAAATCCATTCTACAAATAGCAGTTGCACTATTGACAAAATGAAGTTTTATCAGACCTTTAAATATGGGTAACAAATATGGATAAACTCTAAATTTAGCGCAAAGAATAAAAGCAAAATTGAAAGTCAGCTAGGAACTCTGTATCATTATTCTCACAATCCCATGTTGGCAAATACTTTCATATTTTGCAATGAATTTTTTCTGGTCCACATAAAAAAAAAAAGGTGGTTTTTTTAGTCTTTATTTCTCCTAAATACTTACATTCAAATCAATGACCTGCATGAAGGGGGAGGGCAAGTCACTACTACAAACTTAACTAGGAAGAAAAACAACACTTCACTGCAAACCAGAAGTAAAACCAACAAGAAAATCACCACATAAGAAACAAGGAAATAAGTTGCTCCATCCAAAATACTGTTGGTTACAAAAATAATGTGTAAGTACTCTCTCATTAGCCCCAGGGCACAGCGAGTCTCTCAGGCATTTGCTAGTCACCAAAAAACTGCAAAATCAGCCCAGAGAGGCTTCAGACAAAACAGATTTGCACATATGGAAATCCAGAACAAGTATGAGTCTTTTTTTAGTAATTTCCCTACTAACTAACTTTCTAAGACTAAAAGATCTCAATTGCACAGCATTAAGAAAAACTCCAAAAAAACCCACTTAACCAGTTTTAAAGCATTTTTAGCATAACACTGTAGAATACTCTTTAGACACATCATGCACTGAATTTTTTAAAAAGTATCGATTTAAACCAGTATTTGGTTACTTACTAAGATTTCTTCCTATTGCGTATGAAATAAGATACAACCCTAATTTAAAATACCTCTTTAAAAAGAGTATAAATTTTGAATATGTATATATAACCATACAACCTGAAAACCTACTGAAGTAGGGAAGTGACCTGAAGTTTAAAAGGTCTACTGAAACTTTGAACAGGTTTTCATATTAACAGCATTGTACGTGACAGCAAGAATCCCACAAAGCCATTAGAGAAAGAACGGGGTTTTTTTTCCACTTCCAAAAAGAGACCTTCCTTCCCAACCTACTTTGGCTCTCCTCCACCAGAATGAAGGGGGTCATTACTAACAAATGTTCCTGGAACACAGGAGTATGAACTGCAATGTGCAGAAGATTTTGAAGGGGTAGTTCTGCCACTTTCCATCTTAATACAAATAAGTATGTGAATTTATGAATTTATTTCTAAGTCAGGTAACTATTCTAAAAATCACTCATTCAATAAAGTGTAAAAACTTACCACCAGAAAAGTGGCATTAAAACAAACCAAACATCTATGAAAATTAAGTGGCAAAACAGGAATATATGTAATGACCAATAATATGAATAAAAGCTAAACGAAGAAATAATACTTCCTAAACAAATGGGAAATGACAGTTTTGGGGATGCAGGTAAGTACAACCACCTGAATATGTTCTGAAAACCTAGGCACTTATAAGTGTTACAACTTCCACGTCCAACACAGCTGGGACCTTCAGGATTAATGAACACTTACATCTACCTAAGACCAGAAGACTGCTGACTGAGCTTAAAATAAAATCAGATATGACATATTAACAAAGGCGTGGGGGTTGGGAGTCTTCTTTTTTGGAACAGGTCAGTAAGCAGACAAAGTATATCTGATTTAAAGAAAACAATGTGAAAGGATGTCAGAGACATTTTCTCTTACTAAATAATGCTAACCAAATGTAACTTTTCAAGCAAGATATTCAGGTAACTGTTACTTCTCTGTCTCAAAGTAACCTTAGGACACCTCTTTGATGATCACTATTCAAGGTACCATTTACCACTAAGGGAAGGGAAACCAAATCTTCAAGTTAAGATTCAGCAGACAAGTACAAGTAAAAAGGTAGATTTTTTTATATAGAAACCTAAACAGTACCCAAATCAGAAGCTCAGTTGTGTCAAGAATCAATTAAAACATACAAAACCCAAAATATTAGCTTCTGAACAACAGAATTTCTGATTTTTTTTCAGATGTTAAAGAGGCCCTTTTATTTCTTCCATATTTCTTCGATGCAGAACATTCAAAACATCATAAAACTGCAACAGATAAATAATAGTTACTTGGGCTTAGCTTATGCTGCAAGACATAGTTAGAAATCTAAATATTTAATTTGCTTTGATTTTTCCAACATGGATTTTGGCACCATAAATTATTGAACAACTTATTTAAGTGAAGTTCCATTTAAATAGAATTTTAAAATTTCCATTGTAAACTTGTTGCTGATAGTGTCTCCAATTTTGCAGTAACATGCTCACCCCTTTTGGATCCTTGGCAAAGTAACTCCCACTGGATCCTTGAGAGATTCTTTCTGGAAAAACTCCACACTCTATAGCTTGTTCTGCTCTCAGAATAATTTCTGCAAATTCTGGATCATCTAAAAATATATTCATATCAGCAGTATGTCCTGAAAAATAAGAAAACAAGCAACCTTAAGTGTAATTTTTACTACAAATTAACAACATGAGTAAACACACTGAAAAGCTAACAGCCTTTCCTGTTAATGCCCATTCAATAGCAGGCTGAAAAATCTGGTCCATTAAATCAGTGCAAGTTTTCCCACTGACCTACCCACATCTAATCAACCTTTTGTTTAAAGTAAATCAGCTGAATCAGCAACAACTAATTTGAGACTACCCCTGCAAAGTGTTTATACTTTTCAAGGATTTTTTTTTTAAATTTTATTTACATAAGGAAGACTATAAGAGAAAAATCCCTTCAAAATCATATCTGTAAAAAAAATGCTGAAGATTTTACATAACATTTTTATTAAGATTTTTGTGTCCTTTTGTAGAGAAAGCTACCTGAACATAAACTGTCCATCACCCACTAACTGTTACAACCATTCATTTAACAGCTTGGCTAACGTTCATTATCTGCTAAGACACAATAATGTTACTCACAAAACAATCCGTTACATGTAGCACTGACAAGCGCCACCAATATCCCAGTGAAGTACCGCATGCCACCATCATTCCAACATTAAAACACTATCAATTACTTGCAGAATTTCTTTACATACTGACCAAAAGATCAGATCTATGCAGGCATTTATGCAAACTCTGTGACTCTATGCAAACATTTAGAAAGATTACTAGAAAAGAAGCTGCCAGGATTTAATACTTCTGTTGCTCTTTAAACTTTTTCAAATTATTTCTTTGCAAGTTTTGAAATTGTAGATTTTTGTATCTTAAGGCTAGAAATAATCCATATTCTTACAGAGTACATTTCTATGGGTCTGTGCATTAAGGCTCATTTCTGCATTAAGAAACAGCTATATTATTCTAAATTAAACATTCATAGATGAAGTCACTGTGTTCCCATTTCAGCACTTGAAGAAATGCAAGATAAAACAAAACACGTACATTATTCTGAACTGACAACTGACACAGAATCCATTCAGAAAAGGTACTCCTAAACAGTATGTGGACAGCGAAATAAATAAATAAATAATAAAAAATCATTCTTGATGTTTTGGAACACCTTTTTCTAGCACAGCACATTCTTTGAAGTTTTCTAGAGCATTACCACTTGCTTGCATGAACCACTCACAAATAATAACATGGCTTCCAGACAAAAACAACTAAAAAGCATAAAACATCAGAAAACCTTAATACAAGTTGGCAACAGGAAGAGAAGCCTTAAAACTAGTAACAGCTCATTCTTAAGGATCAACAACTGTAGCCCATTGGATCAGAATCTGTTAGACTACTTGGCCAATACTTCTGCAATAAACTACAGTTTAATTTTAAGACTTTCATTAGGACTGTCAGGGACAATCAATAAATCACATTTCATAGAGTCAGCCACCAAGAGAGAGGGAAACGGTTCTAAGACTTCCCTGTCACAAAGTACTTAAGTGAGTTAGGGAAATAAACCAAAAAACCCGCAATACACTTATGGGAAAAGTCACTTTAAAGCAGTGGTTCTTACTCCATATTTAAGCCTCAACTATCTCTACATGAGAAACATCACATCACACTGCCGAGCTGCAACTACTACATATTTCTGTCAGTGAAAGCAAAATCAAGGTTGTGCATTATACTGTTACCAAACGAAATACAACATCCATATTAAGTTGCTCTGCACATTAATCTTCCAGATGAAGAGGACCTACACATGAACTTTATATCACAGGGATTGAAGTTGTATACGTGGAAGACAACTTTCTCAGAGGTCAGTTTTTAACTTCTGTGCATTCATTCCAGAAGCTAAAACCATAAGAAGTCTCACTGCCTTGAGGAAATTCTTCAACCATGTCTTTTCTAACATAAAAGATAACTGCAGGAAAAATATATTCAATTAAAAATCAAATTAAAAACAAAAAATAATTTTTGAAACTTACGATTTGTTCAGTATTGCTAATGTGCTACTGGAAATCCTTCGTTACCACAGTGATGTGGCTGTACAAAAAAATATATAGGCTGAAAACAAGGAAACTGGCAGTTTTAAGAAGCTTTCTTTCATTTTACCAACACCTTCCACATGAAAATAAGCCATTTTCATTGAAGCTAGTATTTGCTGAATATGGCAGGGTTTTCTGAGTTGGTTTCTTCTTCAAAAATTATTTTAATCAAGTTCTCCACTGTGAAAGCATGTTATGGTCACAACTTACTCCCAGTACAGTCTCTAAACTTACAATTAGAACTAATCAGGGTTTTTCTTGCAACCGCTCTTGAAACTACTCTTCTCATTAAACTCCCACTCAGTAGACCAGGGCTCACACACACACAGAGTCTAACCACCAAGCTCAATAACTTTTTTCAAATTAATTTGGACAAGGCCTAAGGCTGTGAAGCTGCTATACTGGAATGATGAGGATATGCCAAAGAAGGTACGAATACTATCATCCACGTATAAACCTCAACCTGTTCTTCCGTCAAGTTAACATAAGCTAAACCAATACACTTTACAAGAGCAATATGTATGAACTCCTTCAATACTAAACTAGCCTTATACTACTTTAACACTAATGGTAGTCCCTTCAACCAATTCCATCTTCTTCTATACAGTCTCATATTCTGACCATAATTCCATTATAAAAACACTCTCTGTGTTGCAATAACATGCATGAATAACATCTGCTGCACATTTGTTCCACCTGACGTGAAACAATCCTGTACCTTCAAGTGTTAGACACACAGAAAAGGCAAGGACAAGGAAACAAGAGCTAGAGATGAGATGCTGCGATCAATCACAGTTCTGAGATTTTCTTACGTACTCTTGGGGCAGATCCCAAGTAGGGATCTCTGCATTCACCATCCTAATTGCCCCAGTGGTGCCAGACCCACGGCCCTAGTCTCCACTCTGAAGCATTAACTACTATGTTTTGCTAGAGGCACTGTCTCATTAACAC